CTCGAAGATCTCCCGAAAGTGTCCCAGGCATGACATGGCACGAATCTGAACAAAAATTGTCACACTTCCATGCAAAGCAAACTTCGTCCGGGACAGATTTCTGACGGATTCTCTTCCGCACCAGGTGCCAACTTGCAGGTGAATGCAACAGAGGTCGATCGGACGGCTCATATTCCAATTTTCCGGATAAAATTCAGTCTACCGTTAATTCTTTTTATCCATTTCATTGCCGTCAGATCATTTCGACACGTATCTAACGGCCCAAAACGTCGGAGGCTGATTCGGCCGTTAGATTGATTTCGAGGAAATTGAACGGTCGACAATCCAATCCACTGCAAGTTATATTTCTTGCACTCGCGAAAATATTGAATTTCGTATAGCGCCGGGAACATCTTCCAGTTTCGTGAGCCCGCAAATCAACTTATCCATAAAACCTCAACCACTTCTCTCATTTTGCCACGTCAGCTGCTGCTCTGTTCCATCTTCCCCAACCAAACCATCTTTCCCAACCACTCCATTTTTCCCTCGCAGCTGTTCCACTTCTCTCTCTCAGCTCCAACCTTAGCCGTTTTCCTGATTCATTTTCGTAAACCTGACTGATTAGCTCTAGTATTTCTTACGTCTAGCGCTTTCTTTTCGTCTCATTAGTACGCATTCCTTTGCGCAGGATTTATTAGAACTACATCCCGGACCTCTATAACCTCTTAATCGCAATTTGCCGCCCCTTTTTTCCCATGCATTCCTCCAAGTCTGCGTTAAGGACGGTTGCGGAGGCCCGCGCTACGTTTCGCTCGTAAGGTTAGTACTGTGACGTGTGGCTGTGCGTAGCTGATGTTAATCTCGTTCTACATTTAAGGCTAACAATGTTTTTCTTGCATGTAGTTTCGTTCAACCTTTAGGGTGCATGCCGTTTTTCTGCCCTACAGCGTGGATCACATTTGTTCATGCCCTCGAGCATAGCTTCGTACGCTTAGTATTTTACAGCGGTGCAGGAAGGTATTTCGGCCACGTCAATTCTAATTCTGATAGTGGCTCTTGCGGCGCCCCGTCTACGGCCTGCGCCAGGCTCCCCGTGAGTGGCATGACACTCTCCGTGCTACGCTTGCTGACCTGCAGTTCTTTCCGTCTTCCACAGACCCTTCACTCTTCGTTCGTGCTGGCCAGACTCCGTTCTACATCCTTGTTTACGTCGACGACTTGGTCTTTGCCACAGCAGACAGGGACGCACTGGCCTCCGTGAAGGCAGAGCTGCTGTAGAGACACACGTGCACTGACCTTGGAGAACTGCGCCGCTACCTTGGCTTGCAGATCTTCAGGGACAGAGCATCGCGCACCATCACCCTGACTCAGTCACACTTGGTGCGCCAGGTCCTTCAGAGGTTCAGCCTTCAGTTCTCCTCTGTACAGCTCACCCCTCTGCCTGTAGACCACAGACTCTCTGCTCCAGTGTCTGAGGAGTTGGTAGAGCCCAGCGGCCCCTACGCAGAGCTGGTGGGTTGCCTCATGTACAGTGGCGGAAACAGTTGTCCACATGTTTAGCATATTTTCACATTTTGACGAGCTGTACGCTATAAACATTAAGCCTTAATTCATGGTGGCCATACACATAGAGAGGAGCAGTTAGAGCACTCACTCAAATCTCCTAAAACCAGAGTAGTATATTTCATGGTCCTTCAAGACGACAACATTGAATAACAGCACATCCGGACAATTTGTACCGGGGACAAGCAGCAAACTAGTTACTAGCAAAACTAGTACCTAGTCAACCGACACTTGGCCTTGATCACCACCTACACCCTCCTAGGTATGTTATCTACGAGGTTAGTGCAAACCTTTACAGGGATCTTCTCGCACTCTTCCTGGACCCACGCTTTTGCATAAGGGGGTGAGCACTAGGAAAATCGCAAAGTATTTGAACGTATGCAAGAGTACTGTGCACGATTTCATGTTGAATGTTATCTCTAAGACTAGCCATGCTGAGGTGTGGCCAAAGATGCCATTAGTCGATTGGTCTCGTCTTATCATGGATCGTCTTCATCGTACCGTTGTAGGTAAAAATTACGAGCAGAGTGGCGAAAAATTGCGTATCTGCCACGAAACTTAGGGTAACATAGCACGGTTGGCAGTGCATCCTTGCACTCTTAGAATCACGCTAGGATCCATAGGTCTCTGAGCGGTGCAGCAGTCAAAGTACTCGTGACTAGTGGGGAAAAATATCCGGGTTGAGATCTGGTGAGGAAAAGGGTCACTCCAACGTAACATACTCGTGTTCTCTAAGCCATTCGAAGCCATGTGTCCCGCCTAGGCTTGGAATGGCTTGGAGAGCATGAGTTTATAGCACTGGAGTGACCCTCTTCCTCACCAGACCTCGACCCGGATATTTTCCCCCACCAGTCACGACTACTCCGACTGCTGCACCGCTCAGAGACCTACGGATCCTAGCGTGATTCTAATATTGCAAGGATGCACTGCCAACCGTGCTATGTTACCCTAAGTTTCGTGGCAGATACGCAATTTTTCGTCACTCTGCTCGTAATTTCTACCTACAACGGTACGATGAAGACGATCCATGATAAGACGAGACCAATCAACTAATGGCATCTTTGGCCACACCTCAGCATGGCTAGTCTTAGAGATAACATTCAACATGAAATCGTGCACAGTACTCTTGCATACGTTGAAATACTTTGCGATTTTCCTAGTGCTCACCCCCTTATGCAAAAGCGTGGGTCCAGGAAGAGTGCGAGAAGATCCCTGTAAAGGTTTGCACTAACCTCGTAGATAACATACATAGGAGGGTGTAGGTGGTGATCAAGGCCAAGTGTCGGTTGACTAGGTACTAGTTTTGCTAGTAACTAGTTTGCTGCTTGTCCCCGGTACAAATTGTCCGGATGTGCTGTTATTCAATGTTGTCGTCTTGAAGGACCATGAAATATACTACTCTGGTTTTAGGAGATTTGAGTGAGTTCTCTAACTGCTCCTCTCTACGTGTATGGCCACATGAATTAAGGCTTAATGTTTATAGCGTACAGCTCGTCAAAATGTGAAAATATGCTAAACATGTGGACAATTGTTTCCGCCACTGTACCTGATGACTTGCACTCGCCCAGATCTCGCATACCCTCCCAGCATCCTGGCGCGCTTTGTGGCCAAAGGCAGACACCGACCGCAGCACTGGTCTGCCGCTAAGAGGGTTCTGCGTTATCTTGCTAGTACATCGGGCATGGGGTTAGTGCTTGGAGGACGCAGGCCAGTGGTCCTTACTGGACACACAGACGCTTCGTGGGCAGACGACGCCGAGACACTCAGGTCTACCCAGGGCTACTGCTTCAGCCTTGGCTCAGCTGCCGTCTCGTGGAGAGCTACCCGCTCCTCGTCTGTTGCGCAGTCCAGCTGTGAGGCTGAGATCTACGCTGGTGCCATGGCGGCACAGGAGCTCCGCTGGCTGACCTTCTTACTCACTGACTTAGGTGAGCGGCCTAGCTCTGCCCCGGTCCTGTTCGCTGACAACAGGGCCATGATCCTCCTGTGCCAAGAGCCCCGACTCGAGGGCAGAGCGAAACACATTCAGCTGCGGTACTTCCTCCTGCGTGAGCTACAGCAGCGACGTCAGGCTCGCGTAGTACACTTGGCCTCAGGTGCCAACACGGCTGATATCTTTACGAAGGCGCTTGCGCCTAAAGATCATCAGCGGCACTGTGTACAGCTTGGTCTAGTTCCTGTAGCCTCTTACTTGCTAGGACCTTGACTTTGTACTGTCCTTTATATGTATACTCAGACTGGACTTGTGTCCTCTCCCAGTGGCTGGACTAGTAGTGCCGCCCTGCTCTTGTTCTTGCCTTGTCTGTACTCCTTCTGACTGGTCTCTCAGACCCTTGTCTCAGAGGTCGGACTAGTAGTGCCGCCCTGAGCTGCTTGTTTAGGACATTCCCCTATGCAGTCTAGGGGGTGTGTCAAACATGTGTATTTGTCATGTTTGTATAGACTGTATAGGGTTACCTCTTAGAGGGTACAACACTTAGGTATATCTGTGTGTACTCTCACTCTACTATTCACTTCTCTAAATTCTGATAGAGGTGTCATGCACTGAGAGACAGCTGCATATGAGGAGATCTAGGGCGCTGTGCGGTGGTATGTGAGTTGCACCATGTGTGCTGGAAGCCACATCTGCAACATGAGTAGGGTTTTCTCACTGTGCTCTATCCCTCACTTCATCGCCTTATATGTGTGCTGCCACTGTGTTATGTTGAGGCACGAGTGCAGCCTGGACCTGGACCCAACCTAATCTTATCTCAGTTCCCCCCCGCCCCTCCCTCTCTCCCCCACTTGGCTGCTCGGCTTCAAGATGTTTCTGGGCGTGTTGGCCCTTGTGACCAACTGGAATGTGGAGGGTAGCGAGTGCAGTCTGGTGCTGGGCCCTCTTTGACGTGTCTACTCCCCTCCCTGCCCCCCTCTCTCCCCCCTGGAACGCAGTGGGGCTTTGTTGGCCTGCCCGTGTCATGCAGCTCACTAGATTACTGCGACTTGCTGTGTGGGGTCATGCCGAAAGTGCAAATCACCAGATATAGCAACTGCAAACGTCTGAGCATTTGGTTTTGGCTGGCTTGCAATAATTTCTCGAGTGTAGACAAAATGAATACCCTTACAAGACCTAGTGCTCTACGCTGGGCTTCAGCCATCCAGTGTGACCTGCACACTGGCCACCCACTGCTTGAGGCACAGCAAGAGGGGAGAGACAGACCAGACATCATTGCTAAGGCATATCCAAAATCAGAGAAGTGTTGTTGATAGAGTGAGAGTACACACAGATATACCTAAGTCTTGTACCCTCTAAGAGGTGACCCTATACAGTCTATACAAACATGACAAATACACATGTTTGACAAGGCACACATGGGTGCTGTGCTGCGGTATAGGCATGTGAGGCCTGTGTGCTGGCGGGGAGCCGCACCATGCACACCTTCTATTAAAGCACCCAGCAGACTGATATGAAATGAAGGTGGTGTCGTACTGTAAAATATCAGAACTACTAACCAATTCACATAACACGGTAACTAACAAGAGTAGCGAAGAAAAAGCACTCGGTCAAGGTGTTCTAAGGCTGAGCTACCCTGCACACACATGACTTGCAGCCCATGGTTTCGATCGGACGAATGCTGCACCCCAATTTTCAAGAACGTTTTTGCATGCCCTAGTGCACTCCTGTCCCGACCCGACTCACTCCAGTCAGCTCTTCCCCAAAACCGGCTACCTCTCCCCCCCCTCACCCACCCTCCCTGCTGGCGTCACTTGTGAGTCCCCATCCTTTGCCATGATACACCCCCAAACCGGCTTCCTCTAACAGAACCGTGGCACGCCTGAGACAATCTTCCGAGGTTGAAAAGTTGAGTGCAAATGCTCCAATTCCCCAACACTGGAATGAAACTTCAGCGCTTCTTCCTCAGCTTCCCGCAGAGTGAAAAGTTGTTGTTTTGATGAGACGCAACAAACAGATCGTTGCCTAAGAGAGAAACATAGTACTGGATACCTTGCTGCGTCTGGCCATAGTCGCGGGGCCAAATTTCGTCCCGGCAATGAAGCTGTAACGGTTGACCAGATGACCCCGGTTGCCTGCAATCCTCTGATATGGGTCACTATTCCCGTACTCCTTGTCGTAACATACCCTCCAGGCATGAGGAATGGACACGCACTTGAGGCAGACTCCCCTCCGGACGGATGTTGTCAACGCGTACTTTCATCACAAGGAAGCTTCCATCCACGGCCCTGCCAAACGGACAAGGGCAAAAGCAGCAGGGGCAGGAGGACGAAAGAAAAAAACAAGGGGAAGAGGACAACGTGGATTCACGCTAGCCAATCCATGTAAAGCACAAGACATGAAAACTGCTGCCTAAAGCTGGAATGGATAGAAAGAGGGCAGCACAAAAAAAAAAAACATATCTTACTTCACTCCCTTAACCCAGGCTTTCCCGGTTGCTCCTCGGTCTCCAACCACTTTCCCGTTGCTGCGGGTGGGACGCAGCTTGGCCACATAGCACACTGGCAGTGGGAATGGGAGGGAAGGCAAGAGGGAAGGCAGGGGGAGGCAAGAAGACAGGCAAGTCGGGAAGTCATTGGAAGGATGCCCGAGCATGGGTTGTGCTTTCTAGGAATGCTAAGAAGGTAATCTGTCCAATCATGGAGCCGGGTGCGTCGATACCTCACAGCACGATGTGGCCCACCTAGGCGAAAGAATAGTTGCCGTATCCAGATACCTAGGCTACATTCTACTGTTGAAAGCGCTGTGTTAGCACAGGTTGAAGGCTCCTACAGAGCACCTATCCTTGCACCAATCCTAGCACCACAGGCTATGGGATTGGGAGAGCAGGCAAGATGCGAAAAGCCCCGCAAGGCACTTACCGAACACCTTGCCCTTCACCACGGGCCAGCCGTGAGTGAAGGCGATGCCAGAGAGGCTGTGTGGGAGGGCCGCTGCCAGGGACGCGAAGAGGGACTTCGGGGGGAAAGTTGAAAGGGACGTCAGGGGAGACGTCGAGGGAGACGTCGAGGGAGAAGTTGGGGGAGGAGTTGGTGGAGATGTCGGGGGAGACGTCAGGGGAGACGGGGGAGACGATGAGGGATCCACCGGAGGGGACTCTGGATCGGATCTTGGTGCAGACGCTGCACCTGCTGCGACGAGCGCTGCGCCTGCACAGAGCACAGCAGCAGCGAGCCAGGGCAGGGCGAGCATTGGTCAGTACTTCCACTTGGGCTGCTCTGGACGGGCGGCGGAGCCATGAGTGCACTTGCCAGGGGCGTCAACGGCTGGATGGACGGACGCTCACAAATGAACACGCACTGCCAGTGGCAGTGGTAGGAGATCGTTGCTCGGAGCGGCGCCATGACAGGGAGATAACAGGGAGATGACAGGGAGATGACAGGGAGATAACAGAGGGATGATACGAGGCGAGGCGTTACTACAGGAGGAATGTTTCGAGCAGGCTTGCTTTCAGAAGCGGAGCAAACGAGGCGGCTCTCAATAGAATACGAGCAAACGCGGTGGTGGCTCTGACTGACTGACGAGTAAAAGCACTGCAGGTTTGCTGCTAAGAGCATGCGGTATATTCACCACGCCCTTTGAGTGATCGCGTCACTGGAGCGGTGGCCGAGGATTGAAAGAGGAACGAGCGGCGCAAAGGCTCGTCAAGAACCGCTCATGAGATTCTTGGAGGGACGTCGTCGAAGCTGCAGGTTCGCTGTTTCGCCATGGAGGC